TATTTTGCTATTCAGCGAATCAATTTCTGCATTTGCATTTTGCTGTAAGTGAAACATCTGTTCATAATGTTTTGTCAAGAGGACCTCGTTTTCGCTCTCAAATTGAAGGAAGTGTTCTTCAATTTTCTGAACCACCTCTTTTTCACTGTCTAACCTTATTGCAAGGTAATCAGCTTTCTCAACAACTGTATAGAATGATTCTTTCAGCAAAATTGCAATTTTAGCCAGCTTTTCATAGTTTGACATTGAAATTTTTGTAGAGGTCACACTCTTTGCAACCTCCATCAGATTGTCCACTAACTCTTTTGGGTTCATGCTGTCCGCCTGTTCCTGTCTATATGGATGTAAGGGTGCTGTCAGCAGCTTCAACGCATCTTCTAAACAGTCCTTCATCCCATAAGGATCAAAATCTTTTTCTAACACACCTGTCATGTTCATTCACTGTGTAGCACTTTATCTGTTTAAAACAGTTGCAAGCTTCAGATATTTTACAGGTAAATATTTGTATTCAAGTGTCATTGAGTTTTCACACTATTTTAAGCTCTGGGTTTGCACAAAAGTACTGTTATAAGTCAACTTATTCAAATGTGGGCACCTGTCCAGGTTTTACCCCAATTCATGAATATTCAAGTAAATGCTTCTTTGCAGTGTTACTTTTTATGTGCTTATTTCTTAACAGATACTAGATTACCAAGCTCTCTTAATGTATTTTACTCTAAAGCACTGAATTTTTATAAACCTGCAATTTTTCTAAAAAGTCTCACAGCAAATCAGTTTAAAGACACTTTTTAAACCGTTCTGTTCCAGAAATTTGCTACTTTAACAGTTACTCATAGAACCAAGTGGTGAAAAGAAAAAGAAAAATTGATGATGTGTCAGGATTAATCAGTCTTTCTTCAGAAAAACTGTTATTACTCCTGTCCTCCTGTCAGTATCTTCTATTTAAAATTAAATAGGAAGATGTATTTTTTAGGTGGTAACTTAAACAGAAAAGTTTCTTTTTCCTGATAAGTTTACTCTTATTTAGTGATTTTGCAATTAAACGTGTATTATCTTTCAAGCAAATGAGTAAACTGATCTCTGTGAATATCTGTAACTGTATCTTTTTATTAAAAAGTTTCTAATTTTTATTTTGCACCTTTTTCTTAAGGAATTACCAGTGAATAAAAATGTGTTGGTAAATGCCTCTCTGCATAAGTACACTTCACTTTTTAAATGCAAGATAACAGTGATTATTCAACTTGAAGAACGTTTATTAACTCAAAGTTTGTCTTACAGAAATAAATAAGTTTAATTTCACTCAAAAACCTAAAACTGAAGTGAAACTGTGATCTCAAGTTTCCCAGAAGGGGGCAGTGTTTAGCTTTCTACCAGCAGGAGTCTATGACGACTTCCTGTGACGTTCGGTTGACATCCTGTTTTTAGCCGCTTAGCTTAAAGTTAGCTTCGGCTAAACTCGGTTAAAATCAACATTTCTGAACGGTTTTAAAGCTTAAACTTGGCGTTTTTTCAACAAGCACGACTTTGTAGCATGAACACGAGTTTTCTGGGACATGTGGCAGCTTCATTTAGTGATTTTAAGCACAGTAAAGGCTTCGGTTCAACCGAACTTTACAATCTGACATGGAGGAAGTGACGTAGCCACGTCACTCATCCGGTCGTTAGCTGTTAGCTTAAAATTAGCATCGCTAGCGCTGTTCAAAAACATCATTTAATGACGGATTTTAAACTCTAACGTGGCAAAATTTCAGTGATTACACTTTGAAGAACTTAAGCAGCGGATCAAAATCAACTTTAAAGCGCTTTTCAGCTTTAAAAAGCAGATTTTAATTCCCTATGAAAACGAGTTTTCATTTCCGGGTCACGTGACTGAATCCACCAATGACAGAGCAGCACGGGGTGGGCTTTACGACCTGACACGTCAGAGGCTCATGACTGACACGTCTCTCAGCCAATCAAAGCGTTCCACGGCAGCTGACTTCAACCAATCACGCAGCGTTTTCCCAACTAGCATGTTAGACTTATCTGAAATAAGTTCGTCAACTTTCTGTCTTTTAAACTGTCAAAATGCACTTTTTCTGTTAAAAATGTAATGAATCAACTCTGAGCTTAGCTGAGACTTCATCCAGTCCGTAAAACGTTTCTCCATCTATTTAAAACAACTCGTTCGATCTTTCTCAGAACCGAGCCGGTACCAACAGAACCTCTGTCCGTCTGGACCATAGTTTAAACAGAATAACGTTTTCCACAGCTCAAACCCAGCTTATGTTACACAACAGATGTACAATTTCAGCTTTAAAAAGACTCAATGACTCACAATCAGCTTCAAAGCATTAAGCGTAAACATGCAGTGTTTTCCTCCAAGCGCGCAGCTCAGCTGCGTTTCAGCACAGCAAACAATCTGCTATTTTTTCATGCCAACATGGAATATTCAATTGTCACACGAATACACAGTCCATTTATGAACCGTCACGGGCCACCAGATGTAGTATGACATATCCTGAGATATATTCATACATTAAACGGGTTCTTCATTTTTCTGGACTGTGTAACATACGTGCGTTGAAGGTAATAAAAATGTGGACGTGAGACGTTAATTATCTTTGACTCACCACGACAGTGGGTCATTTATTAACAGAATCAAGTTTAACACATCACACATTTACATTAATTTGGCAGAATATGAAAATAACAACATAATTAATCAGCTTTACAACCAGGAAAACCATACGGCCATGATTTTCCGTTGCTTCACCACAGACATTTCTGAAAACATCTGGATTAATTTTCTAGCAGACAGGAGAGTTAAAGATGGAAAGATGAAGTTTATCTGAGAGAGATGAGTGAGGGAATTTGTCTGTTTTAACCAGAACAGCACGCTCCATTGAAA